CACTGCATTTTCTGAAATAAATGAATGGTCTCCTCTACCACCCTGTCAAAAGGTGTAAGTTTTATGAATCTTGTTTGGCCTTGGAGTGGACTATCAGTAAAAACATATACCATGAGACAGTTATTCCAGCCTTCACATAAGAAAAATAAGTGAACATGCCAAGAGAGATGAAGCTTTTAAGCTGCAGAGTGAATGAACCTAACACTGCCAGTTTTAAACTTAAAATATCCACACATCTTAAAAACCAAACATAAATTCCGGCTGCAAGAAAGTATCTTTTGGTAGCAGTAACTACAACTGATGAAGGCTGATTTGTTTAGACTAGTGTATGTCAGTGTAAAATATAAGTGACACACCATGTTATGTAAAGCCTGGTATAACCATGAATAAATAAACATTACAAACATACATACAAATACACAGAGAATAGTATAATAAACAGTAATAAAAACATAATCTCATTTATAAATATTTCAGTGGGTATAAAAGGTTTAATAATGATTTAGAAAATCTTTAGAGAGCAGAAACTTGGCTGTAGTCAGGGGTGTGATGGAGCATGTCTGCACAAGTGTAGCTGAACTAGTACCTAAAAATTGAAAACACCTATAAAATTTCTTGGAAGCATCTTATATTACTTAGTTTTGTGTTCCCATCAAAAAATAATACTACTATAGTAAAGAATTATTCCACAGAATTGGTAGTATGTATTCTTACAACTACCTCTTCCTACACAACGCAGCCAATCTTTCTGCTTTTCTCTGTGAATTTTTATCCTTCCATCTCCTGAGCACATTATGGGAGAGACAAGCATATGTATGAACATACATATGCACACAATGAACAGAAAATAAGATTCTTTCCTGCTGTAGAAAGTAGGACAATAAAATCTTATCATTGACAATTGAACATTACAATCAGAAGTTAACATTTTGGCAGCACACCCCTGGTTGTAACACCAAACAAGAATATAACTGAGACCTGAGGTTGTCACAGAGGTGGCTATGAAGATTACTGTCTTCCAGCTCTGAAGATAAGGACAGCAGGTTCTTCTGAATACTGATAAATTTCTACTAAATGACATGTCATCAGATCCCAGGAATATAATTGATGCCCAGCAAGGGGACTGAACAATATAAGTACAATGACCAGTATTGCAGAGGTGTGAGAAGGATAATCAGTACAACTGCACTGCCATTTCCTCCATATTTTTCTTGGCGGCTGAACTGTTAGAACCAGTTTCAGGGATTGTCAACGAATAATATAAAATTAGAATTTGCAGTATTAATGTGACTAGCACTTATTCCTTATTAATAGTCTGACTTAGAAATTCACTCATTTATTGATTATTCCTACATTATTGCTTACCAAGAACATGTTTCATGTTAACTACTTCTTAATGCCAGCCTACCACAAAAGTTATAGGAGTCAAAATATATATCACGGTTAGTTGCAATAGTACAGTATATCAGTACATCAACACTAGTGCCAATGAATGTTTGATTTATTTCTGAGACATTACTTCATGAAAATATGTTAGTGTCAGTACATGGTTTTTAATCTGTTGCTAGTTAGTCTTAGCAGTGGAATCCCCTAAGAAGATACCTGTGATCCTAAAATACCTATATTCTGCATATAACATGACAAACTTGAAATTTAAACTAAGTTGACCCACAGGATTGCCATCCCAGAGGCCTTTAAATTCTGGAGATATTATCTATGCAGTCAAGAAATTGCAAGTGATCAGTAACTTCCATTCCACATTATAATACCTTTAAGCTGACTTGTCATAACAAAAATAGGAATATACATTTCTAAGTATGCAGACATGTGTACAAAAAAGGAGATGAGATTTCTTTTGATCACCTGCCATGTGTGATCTGCATGTGAAGCAAGTGATAATTTGTGTAATCTGAACATCAGGTTACATCAGGCATATAAAACAAATGAGAATAATGGCACAGATGTTTATTTTTATTAATAAACCTAACACATAAGAAAGTAACTGACCAAACATCAACTGTGAATTAAAAATATCGTTATCAGTGTCTTGCATAATGAAAATCACTTCATTATAATCTTTCCCAGCCTGATCATTTTAACAAAGGCAGGCTGGTTCCAGTTGTGCTCTTTTATCAAAGTCCAGAAAATATGAACAACCTTAGGAGAAAAATATATTCTATGGCTAGCTGTAAATTATATGAATGCAAATTGTTTCAGTAAACTTAACATTTAAATAATTTATTAATCTTTTATATTTGCAAGAGGGTGAAGTTCAAAATAACTTCTGATAAATTCCGTTGACATTTTATAATCTGAATTACTGACAATTATTAAATAAACTACAAATAAATAAATAAGATAAATTCTTTTTGTTCTTCATCTTACACTCTTTTAACACAGTTTGCAAACATTCAAGAATAAAATTGCATTTGCATTTAAGTTATGCAAATGTAACTGTTTAATGATTGTCTACACACTCTCATTAATTGCAGTATTACATTTCTTATTTATAAATGCTACAGAAGCTAGTAATGTCATGATGTCTAACACAATCTACACTGCAACACTTTAGGCCTGTGGCTTTATGATTTACCACCACATTTCCTTCCACTGAAGCTTCATTCGTTCCTTATTTGGTCATATGAGACTGTGTAAGCTTGGCTGTTGAAGAAAGATTTTTATACATAATTTGCAGGTCACCTATTCATCAAACAGTATTCAGAGTTTCATTCTACATCATTTAGGTAGAGATATTTCTGGGGAAAAATGTAGCCAATCCGGATACTTAGCAGTTGTATGTTTCTGACAGGTAGTTTTCATTTCATAATTTTTCATCTTCGAATATCTTGTCCATCATATGAATTTCTGTTTGAAGTGTACAATCAGTTTGATTACATATAACTTTATTTTTCCGTCACAACAAAACAACTAAGGAGTATCTAGGTCAATACCCAGTTATGCCTCACTACATGTTTCGGCCGTTAACGGCCATCATCAGGTGAATACAAATCAACAAACATATACTATTGAACTGTGGTAAAATTAGATACAATGACAAAAATAGTTAATTCTTTTGTGTAAAAATACAACGGTCATTTATATATAAAACTGAAGGATATAATATAAAACAAGATTAAAATTGATGTTTTATAACATCTGATCAGTCGTATGTTTACTTTATACGTTCCGTGGACAAAAAAATAAAAATATAAGATGGTATTGTAGGCCCATGATGTTGCAAGTTAATTAATAGAGTAGAGGTGCCTCATCATACAAAAGAAAATGTCCATACTGTATGAGGAGTATTATATTTTTATTTTTTTGTCCAGGGAACTTATAAAGTAAACATACGACTGATCAGATGTTATAAAACATCAATTTTAATCTTGTTTATATCTTGTTTTAATCTTGTTATAACGTTCAGTTTATATATAAATGACCGTTGTATTTTTACACAAAAGAATTAACTATTTTTGTCACTGTATCTAATTTTACCACAGTTCAATAGTATATGTTTGTTGATTTGTATTCACCTGATGATGGCCGTTAACGGCCGAAACATGTAGTGAGGCATAGCTGGGTATTGACCTAGATACTCCTTAGTTGTTGTGTTGTGATGGAAAAATAAAGTTATATATTGTGACACAACAGGATGCATGAAATAAAGTCTGATTACAGATATTTAATTCAAGTATATTTTACTTTCTTGTAAATAGAGGCTGTGTCCATGTACAAAATAACTATCGATTTATAGTTTTTGTTAGCATCAACATCTAGCTTGTAGCATTTAATAAAAAGAGAGTATAATAAATTGTTCATCCCAAAATTTCTTTGAAGTGATACATTCCAGTACTAAATTTAATTTAGAAAATAAATGTTTCTACTGATTGAAACCCAAGACTGTTAGCTTGAAATTTCAAAATGTATAAGGATATTTTATTTTCACATAAATTATCAGTTAGAAGTTGTCAGAGCAGAATTATGTTGTTTCATAATGAGATGTCCCATTATAGCAGTAGACATGCTATCTTAATTTGTCTGTTTCTAATTGACAGTATTGCTGAAGATTAAAATTAATAGTTAGAATTTTCTTGCATCTATGTTTGGAAAGTAACTCTGTAACTGTCACACAAGAATCCTGTTGTCATTATAATATTATGGTAGTTCCTAGCTAGACAGTGATGGCGACAATTAACATTTCACTTTGCTAGTGGATTCTAAAGGGTTCTGATGATTGTGTATAACACTTAGAATTACTGGGTTTTTGAGCTCTACCCATCATCTGGTATTCGAAAGAAAACCCCAAAACTAGAGAACACGATGTTTCAGAAACTGGATCTGTTTCCATCCTCAGATGAGGGGGGAGATACCTACTCAGTTGGGTCCTTTAGAAAGAGCTACCTCAATCACTAAACCAGCGATCTGAAACATTGTGTTCTTTAGTTTTTTAGAATACTGGATCATGGACAAAGTCAAAAACCCAGTAATTTTGAGTTTAACTTTGCTGTTTGAGAAAAATATGACGATAAATAGAAGATGCTTATGCTTTAAAATAAATTGTCATTAAAGGATACAAAACTTATTTCAAACTGCTGCCACACTCCATAATTTCCATTTACTCGTAACATTGGAGTGGAAGAAATCGACCTGTTTCCTAATACCACACTAAGGTTCTCACGGCAGTGACCATAAAGATTAGTGTCTCCTGGGATGTGATCAATTGTGGGTTGGTAGGTAGGTGACAACATTTTAGAGGAACCTGCTGCCTCTGTCTTCAGGGTAAAAGATTAAGCTGCATGGGATGGTCAGTGATATATAGAAAGGAAAAAAGGACTTGGTCTAAGAACAAATCAATGGGAGTGGACTTATAAACGGTGATGAAAGTAGACAGAGAAAACATTCTATTTTTTATTTTATTTAGCATTCTTATCTCTTTAAATTTTAATTTTATTTTGTCTTTTTGCCTGCTTTGTATTGCTGTTTTTTCATTTTATTTTATTTTTTATAATGCTGCTGTTTATTAGATTATTTTATTTTATACACTGTCTCTTTACTTTCTTCATCTTCTTTACATTTCTCCTATCCATGAACTCGGCCCTTTTAGAGGCCACAGGTTCCCATTCACTTTACACACTCCTGCCGTTTTGCATTTAGCCCCAGTACTGGTCCTGCCTCCCCTGTATCACTTCTCTCAATACAGCTTTCCTCCTGTCCTGAAGATGGAGGCAAGAGGTTCCTCAAAAATGTAGATGCCCACCTAACTCACTGCATGGCATCACATCTAAGAAGACACATTTTGTTTGGTAGTAGTTTATAATACTAAACAAATGTTCTTAATTTTTATATTCCCCATGTTCTCAACCCTGGAACATGTGTACACAGAATTTCAGAAATATTATTATAATTTCTGTTTAACTTATTTTTCCAGCTGCCTTTTGGATATCTGCCTGAAAGATGAGTAAAATATATGTAAGAGCTATAGATTCTGTAAACTTTCCAATGCTACTCACAATAATTGTGACACAATTCCAGAGGTATCATACCATATTAACACTTCTCAGCAACACATAAGGTGAATTTCTATTGTTTATGGTATTCACTGTTTGTGTTCAAGTGCAGTGGTCTCAAGTTGCTACTGATGTCTTGCCCTTGGATTTCACGAAGCACTCGCACTTGTTTGTACGGTCTTTGTTGCTTGTAATAACTCCTGGGTTCCTACAGGTTAGAGAAACAAGTCCAGTCACAGAATATTTTAAACAAAAGCCTTAAAAATGTCAAAGCAAAGTAACACTTCTGTATTGGGATGAAAAATTCTTGTGAATGAATGAATGAATGAATGAATGAATGAATGAATGAATGCTAAAATATACCTCAGGCTTCCTATGTATGTCTGGCTGTCATAAACATTATATTCCATTGCCATGTCTAAAAACTGAGGTTAGAGATAAGTCATAGAACAATATAAACCTTGATGAAGTATTTTAATTTTGAGCACTTTTCTCAGATGTCTGGAGTGACAGACCCTCATAAAAGTGCACACAGCTTACTTCTAGCTTTGTTCTGTTTCCCTTTGCGTAACTGTGTCACTGGTTTGTTGTTGTTCCTCTTGAGCTGTGGGATGCTTGGCACAAGAACAGTCTCAGCTTCCTGTTGTTGACTGCGGCCACTACTACTACTGCTATACAAGGAGCTACTTAAGCGCTCTCTCACTGCCTTTCCTATTGTCTTTCCCCTACGCAGACTTGTGAACCTTCCTAAGGCAGTACTTCCAACACTTCCCGCACTTCCATTAGCTTTCCGAGACTGGTGACTACTCTGAGGCTCTGTCCCGGTCTGAAAATGCAAAATAAATTTGTGATTGTTCTCTAAAATTGTGGCCAAATATTATGCTTATTTCTCTAAACTCTTTAATTCAGACAGCACATTCATTCCTCTTAGTTAAATTGCTAGGAAACTGCTGATGAAGAAGCTTAAGAGTAATAGTATTTCAACAGAACAAACAGGAATTGGCTTTCGTCTCTCAATTTAGATTCACGATTATTATTTCCTCTATAAAATTCCAAATCAGTGATGTACTGCTACCAGATTTTCAGTTGTGCACCCACAAAAACATCACATAAAACTCAATGGTATAAACCATGGTTTTGGTTACAGAATTATTTGATGAATGAACCCTTCAAGTTAATTAATATTCAGTGATGTGGTTGTATGTACTACTATGGTGCTATGACTGCTAAAACAAACTCTGTGGCCTGTAGTCCGCAAGTGAACTATACTGACCGAGCGACCACCGTTTGTCATCGAAGTTAGTGCTAACTTTTTGCACATAGAGGGTGTCACGTGGTCAGCGCAATGGATCCCCACGGTCGTTAATCTCGGTTTTCTAGACTGGAGCTGCTGTTTCCCCAATTATCCTCACGAGGCTGAGTGGACCCTGTTCCAGATGCACTACTTCTCTACAATCTAGTAGCGCCGGGAATCGAACCCGGGACCTCCGGATCTGTAGGCAGGAACTCTGACCACTAGACTACAGAGTCGGTCTATGACAGCTAAAATCACTCTTCACATAACTAATGAGACCCACAGCTTTATTCTGAAACATTATCTTTATTGTTGGTTAATTTGGACATACCCGTTTCTCCGTACTGTGTGTGCAATTGAGTGTTGTCACTGTGAACTCAATGTCTTTGGGTTGTTCTGAGCTGGCTGTAAGAAAAGTAAGATGTGAATATTCCATTCATATGATATCACAATGTAGGGAAGCACTGCATGCAGTTTTCTCTCAGAAGTAATGATATTATAAAAGCAAGTTGTATGGATTAAAGACAGCCTGGAGGCAAATAATTCAAGCTGAAACTCACTTTCACTTTCACTTTTTATTTGTTCCATAGATCGTTATTGACAAACATGCCACAGGATGTAGAACATGTCAAAGTTAATTATAAAAGAAAAAACAGTTCCTATACAGAGCTTTGTCAACAATAAAATAAGAATAGCCTAAACATATAAACAGGAAACAGAAAATAACGATTCTTCCTTCTGTAAACATATACAATGCTATAAGGCGGTGGTTTCCACACTGTGCTCTGGTAGAACACAAGTGTTCAGTGAAATAGGTTCAGGTGTTCTGCCATTGAAACCAAGTAATAACGGTTTTATACAAATTTATCAGAAAGAAACACTTAATGAATAGGGTTTTCTCTTTTTCTTTCACATTCCTCACTATATCTTACATAATTTTTATTTTCTTATCTTTGGTCTCTGCTGGATGTGATTTAATGATTCTTTGTTATTGTTTCTGTTGTTAGCAGTCTTGGTATATCATCATCATCATCACTGTCAACATATTTTTTTAATTATAGTTTGTTGAGTTTTACAGACAGTGATGTAATATGATATAATTTCTGCTACTAACAGTGTTCCTGGTTTGAAGAACAAACAAAAAAGTAAATTTTCAAGGTATCCTGCACAACAGGTAACATGATGTCCAGGTGCTGTATAAACTGAATAAATTCAAGAATCACTATTATAACATATACAGAAGAGAAACGCTTGTCAAAGCATAGTAAAAAATTCTGACATTTGTGTACATGATACGTGAATGATTAGTGAGTTAACAGGAGTGTGGAAAGAGGCTATCATGTTCAGTTTGAAGGTACTATCCCAGAATTTGTTTGGAGTGACTGAGAAGATCTGCAAAATATGACAGACTGGCTAAGATTCGAACTGGGTACTTGAGCAATACAAATCTAGAGAGCTACTGCTACACCGTCTTTGCCAATACTAATTTATCCAAGACCTTTCCACTGAATGAGTTTAATGAAAATCAACTGGAATATCAAGGCACTTGTGATGTTACTTGTCAGGCAGAAGAAATTAATTCTTTAAATGCGATACAATTAAAAGAGTGGGATTTTACCTGAAAATTCCTCAACTGGCTTATCAATGGTGTCATGGTCAATCCATGTAAGGCCCATTTCAACCTTTTCTGCCAAATCTTGCCAGTTCCGTCGGTTTTCCAGGCAGCCATCATATAATGGCTGAATCCACGGAAATGTATCTGAAAGCACCTGCAAGCAGTTGCATACAAGGAAGAATCTACTTTAAATTATTGTGGACTAGAGGCAGGTGTGTTACATAAAATATTAATTTTACTAGTTTTAGGATTCAGGGTTCTGACAGTGGTGTATCTATGGGATGTGATACTGTGTAGTTTGGTAGATAGAAGGTAAATCTGTCCCTGCACATCAAGACGTGGGGGACTGGAGGTATACATACTACCATCATTCTTGAGTGGTGAGCATCATACCTCTGCCACTTTATCCCTGGGAAAGTTCCCCATACCCACTGCATAGGGGGCTGGGTGGGTTCCAGAGCAGTATAGATACTGTAGAGTAGAGAAAAATCTCTTTCCCCTGGTGGGAATTGAATGCCGGCCATCCAACCCACAGACCATCACTATACTAGTGTGTTAGATAAGAAAAAAATATTTCAGAGGAAATTTACTCTGAAGATGGAGGTAGGTTCCTTGAAAATATTGGTACCTGTCTACCAAGTTACATGGCATCACATCCAAGAACACTTATCTTGATTTTACCAGTTGCTCTTCATGGTTGTGAAACACAGTTACACTCAGAGAATTAAAAACAATGTCACATAAAAACATTTAAGTGAGGATGAAGAAAGCAGTCTTCTGGGCTTTGGCGCCGTGTATATGTGGTGTTAACCGACGTTTCGGAGGAACGTATCGCCCCCATCTTCAGGGTTGAAGAAAAAGTATAGGTAAATCTGCAAGCGACAACACCGTGAGACACGGTAAC